CTCTGTCTCACCTCTCACACCACCATCTTGAATCTCTAAAGAATGCTTTTAAAAAACCCTGATGTCATATGAAAAGTATAGTAAATTAAATTGTATTCATAAGTAACCTCACAAAGGCTTATCATGTTGAAATGCATTCACTTCTTACCAGGTATCTGTTTAGTTCCCGCTGTTTGGTAGGTTCTACCATGTCAGTGAGCAAAGCAGATGCTCCGAGTTTGTCTTTGTGGAGTTTATATTCTAAGAAGTTGCTGTGTTTTTAGCAGCTAAAACAGTGCCTGGCACTTAATAAATATTGAATGAATGGTGATTGTGTAGGAACACACTGTGAATATGCTAAGATTTATTTAACTTTTCTCCTTTTGTTAGAGTGTTGATGAAGAAGACAAATAATATTTTTTTGTTAAGAAAAATCCGACATTAGTAAAAAGCAAACAAACAAACATGGGGAATAGCCAAAATTTAATTTCCTGAGTTAGCACATTACAAGATTCAAATGCCTGTTTTCCACCAAAAGAATCACGTAAAAAAAATCCCAGGAAAGTGTAAATCAAATCTAAGGAAAAAAAATGAGTAAGAGAAACTTCCTGAGAGAAACCAGATAATGGACTTAGTAGACAAATATATTAAAACAGCTGTCTTCAAAGATACTTAAAGAGCTAAAAGACAATGTGGACAAAGTGAAGAAAACAGTGTAACAAAATGGAAATATCAAACAGATAGTAAACAGGGAACTAAAAAGAATTTCTGGAACTGAAGTGTACAGTAGCTGAAGTGAAAATATGCTGGTGAGATTCAAAAGTAGATATGAGCAGGCAGAGGAAAGAATCGGTGAACTTGAATATAGGATAGTTGAAATGATCAAGTATGAGGAATGGAAAAAAAAAGGATTGGAAAGTAAACCGAACCCAAGGGAACCTCTGTGACCTTAAAGTGAACCAGTGTGTGGAGGTGGGAGTCCCAAAGGGAGAAGGGAGAGAAAGGAGATGAGGAATTACTTGAAGAAGTAATGACTGAAAACTTTCCAGATTTGATTAAAGACATGAATGTGCGCATCAAAGAACTTAACATACTGCAAACAGGGTAAATTCAAGAGACCCACACCAAGGTGCATTACAGTCCATCAGTCTAAAGGCAGAGACAAAGAGAATCTTGAGAGCAACAGGGAGAATCAACTTAACCACATACAAGGGATGCCAGTAAGGTTATAAGCAAATCTCTCACCAGAAACCTTGGAGGCCAGAGGGTTGATACATTCAAAGTGCTGAAGGGAAAAAAACTGTCAACCACAAATCCTGTACCTGGCAAAACTGTTTGTCAACAATGAGGGAGAATTTAAGAAATCCCCAGTTAACTAGAAGCCGAGGGAGTTCGTTACCACTAGGCCTGCCTTGCAAGCAATACCAAGCCAGGGTTGAATGAAAGGACAATTGACCGTAACTTGAAGCCGTATGGAGAAATCAGGATCTCTGGTAAAAGTAAATACAGGGACCAGTCTAGGCGCTGGGAGAATTATAACTTCAGTTGTAAAGTTTCCAGTCAAACAAGAGATCGGAAGAATGGCTTAAAAATAAGATGATCTAACTATATGATGCCTAAAAGAGGCTCGGTTTAGATCCAAAGACACAAATAGTGTGAAAGTGAGAGGAAAGTGAAAGATACTTCATGTAAAATAGTAACCAAACAAGAGCAGAGGTGATTATACTAATATCAGATAAAACAGACTTTAAATCAAAAAAGATTACAAGAGACAAAAAAAGGACATTATGCATTAATAAAGGGTTCTGTCCATCATGAAGATATAACAGTTATAAACATCTTACATTCCTAATAACAGACATTCAAAATATAGGAAGGAAACATTGTCAGAATTCAAGGGAAAAATAAACAGTTGTATAATAATGGTTGGAAATTTCAATTTCCCATTTTTAAGAATGAATGGAACAACCAGCCAGAAGATAAGGAAATGGAGGGCTTGAACAATAGAATAAACCAACTACATCTAGCAGACACATACAGAATGCTCTGTTCCCCAACAGAAGACATATTTGTCCCACATACACACAGAACAGTATGCTGGTGGTTGTGCTGACACTGGTTACTGCCGTCAAACCGCACACTTAAAAGTGGTGAAAACAACCTCTAGAAACCGACTCAAGAAACACACACCTTAGGAGTTACCTGATAAAGAATTTAAAAAGGCTGCGTTAAAAGTGTTCAGTGAGCTAAAAGGAAATGTGGAGATGAGATCTGGAAAATGATGCATGAACAAAAATAGTGAAAGTGGTAAATTTTGTCATTTTTTTTTACTGTAATTTAAAAAACAACAAAAGCGAACATTTGTTATATTGGACATTATGAATATTGGCTATTCATTTTTTCATTGTAATCAGCAATTGAGGTGAGTCTCAGCTGAGATGCTTATTTGGGGTATATTGGCCCAGGGAATGCTGGGCGTTGTCTGAAGACAATTTTGGTTTTTACAGCTTAGGGGGAGGGTGCTATGGGCATCCAGTGAGTGGAGGTCAGGGATGTTCCTCAACATCTTAAAGTGCGCAGGACAGCCCCACAACACAGAATTAGGCAGCCCTGATGTGAGTAGCACTCAGGTTGAGAAATCCTTAAGTTGACAGGATGACCAGTTAAAAACCCAAAGAGGATTGATTGATATGATTAGATCTTGGTTTTAGGCATAAACAACAGAAGTTTATCTTCTCAGAGTTGTGGGGGCTAGAAGTCCAAGCTCAAGGTGCTGGTGGGATTTCTGGTGAGGCTGCTTCTCCTGACTTGCAGACAGCTGCCTGCTCGTGGTCCTCTGTGTGCACTCCTGTCCCTTCCTCCTCTTAGAAGGACCCCACCAGTTTGGATCAGGTGCCTCCCCCACATGACCTCAGCTCAGCTTCACCTCCATACAGGTCCTCTTTCAGGGACAGTCACAGTGGGAGTTAGACTTAAATGTAGGGGCTTGGGGGCACCCAGTTCAGGCAACAATCTCCTGCTCTCTGGTCACCCAGTATTCACATCTTCACCTGTAAAATAATCCACCCCATCCCAACAGCTGCAAAAGTCTTCCGCCATTCCTGCAGCAGTTCCGAGTCCAAGGTCTCATCTAAATGTCGCCTAATTAGGTACGGATGACACTCCAGATACAGTTCTTTCTGAGCCACGGTCCCTCCCCACCTGTCAGCCTGTGAAACTGGACAATTTATGTGCTTCTGAAATGCAAGACTGGACAGGCGTGGGATAGACACTCCCAGTACAACTGAGAGAGAGATGGGAAAGAGAGGGGTGGCATGCCCCACAATCTAAGGGCAAATGCCATTAGATCATAAGGCTCAGGAATAGTGCTGTCTGGTGCCATTCTCTGTTTGAGGCCCACTGGGTGGCCTCCCACCCCCACAGTCATGGACCCTGCCCCAAGAAGCTGAGGAGTAGACGGCCTTGTCCCCCAGGCCTGTGGTAGCACTGGTGGTCCTGCCAACCGGCATCACCCATGGAACCACGCTTCCCTTTTCTTGACGCATGAGGCATGTTGAGTCCACAGAATCCTAGCAGTTCAGAAGCCTGCCTTTATTTCATCTGTATCTGTTTCTGTAATCTAGGCTGTGTGCTGGTATGATCCATCACCATTTCTGGCTTCTGTTGAGATGTCTGCTTAAATCCATGGATCATCTCTATGGAATTGGTTTTCTGGCTATGTTCTTGGTGTTCTCACCAGGGCATGCTTTCTCACTTCTTTCAATTTGGATAGGCCTAGAATTTTCTAAATTTTTAGTTTCTGGTTCTTTTTTTTGTTTAATAAATTCCTTTCTCAATGCATCTCTCTCCTGTCACATTTTACTATAATCAGCAAAGAGAAACCAGGCTACACCAACAACGCTTTGCTTACAAATCTCTTTGGCTAAACACCCAAGGTTGTCATGAGTCCCACCTTCTGTAAGGCTCTGAGACACAGTTCAGCCATGTCTTCTGCCACTTGCAGTGAGGATTGCCTTTCTTCTGGTTTCCAGTAACACATTCCTTATTTCTATCTGTGCTAGAAACGCTGTTACTGTCCGCATTCCTTCAACAGCCCCTTCACGGCACTCTCAGCTTCTTCTAGTGTGGACCTTGAAACTCTTAGCATCCTTGACAATCGTAGTCCTAAAGCCACTCCCATATTGTTGCAATAGCAGCCTGCTTCACGGAGTCCAGTACTTGTCAGTGAAGGCTTTCCAGGAAGGCAGAGACAGAACCAGTAAGACGTGTATCTACAAAGATTTCTTTAAATAATTGGCTCAAATGAACATGGAGTCTGGCAGGCACCGAATCACAGTGTGGGCAGGCAGGAGACGCAGGAGAGCCAGTGGTAGAGATGATCAGAAGACTGTCTGCTGGGGAGGCCAGTCTGTTCGTTCTGTGCAGACCTTTAGGTGATTGGAAGAGGCCCACCCACATTTTGGAGAACAATCTGGTATTCAAAGTCCACCAGTTTGTGTCAATCCTATTCAAATAATGCATGCCAGGTTGACATGTAAAAATAACCATCCCAGGAGGTAATGAGAGATGAGAGTAAAGGAGGACAGCAGTAGAGTAAAAAGAAATCTGTATGAAAATGGATATAACAGTAGAAAAACTGTTGGCTGAGGGAGAAAGTGCGAGATTTTAAGCTTGTGTTTTTGGAAAGATGATGGTACCATTTATGGAAAACTCAGTAGAAAACACTGTACTTCTTAAGAATTATCACTTAGAAAGTGATTTTCCATTTTGGCTACATCATAGACTTACCTGGGTTATTTTGGGGATCTCTGTGTTCAGTCTAGATCTCGTACTACTCTAAGTTAGAGTTCTGGAGGTGAGACCCGGTATTTTTTTAAACTCTCCAGGTGATTGCATCCAGACTTGAGAACCCTGTGGAGGGAAGCAGAATCATGGGAATTCTTTAAAAAAAAAATTCTATGTGCCCAACAAAATTCTGGAGTGCTTGAGACCAGGGCTCACTGGCTTGTTTGTTTTTCTAGCTGGCCTTGGACGAACGGGCACTCTGATTGCCTGCTACATCATGAAGCACTACAGGATGACGGCCGCCGAGACCATCGCGTGGGTCAGAATCTGTAGACCTGGATCGGTGATTGGGCCTCAGCAGCAGTTTCTGGTGATGTAAGTATACGGAGAGCTTGTGTGATACACGGATCTGGAAGGTGAGGGGAAGGAGGAGTAGTTTTCTTAGTCTCCAGGAAGAATACATAGTTTAATAGGGGAAAGTTGTTCATGTGTATCTTCCTGGAAAGCTGTGTCTTGATGTTGTTATCTAAATGCTCTAGGAAACAGACGAGCCTCTGGTTGGAAGGTGACTATTTTCGTCAAAAGTTAAGGGGTCAGGAGAATGGAAAACACAGAGTCGCTGTCTCAAAACTCCTCTTGGCTGTTGATGACATTTCAATCAGTGGGGTCAAGAATCAAGACAAGCAGGAACCTGAACTGGTAACTGAGCTGCCCCCACCATGCTAGTGTCATGGCTGTAGATGCTTTTGGGCACTGTAGGGAATGGAGAGATTGTAGATCAGAATAATAAAGCACATTTCAAGGGATTATCATCACAATTTTTTCATAGTTATAGAGCCCTCTCTAGGAACTTTTTACTCAAACCAAACGCTGTTCCCCTTACGTGAGTCTGGTTTCCTTCGTGTGGTTGATGTGTTTATGTGTGTGAGGTCCTTCATGAACCTTTTTCGCTGTACACTTTCTGCAACAAGGCTGTGTCCATGGAACTAGTTGTTTTACTTACTAAGCACTGATGGAGAAAAGAGGCGTGTGACATAGGCTCTTGCAGTGGACCTGGAAGCTCCCTCTCCCCTGCCTTTGCCCCTTTTGGGACAGCTGATTTAGGGAACCAGGTGGCAAATGGAAAACCTTAAAAAAAAAAGTTCAGGGGGTAGCCGCACCCTATTAAGTGGTGGTAAGAAGATTATGAAATTTTAAAAAAAGAGTGTTTTAAATACTGAAAACCCATTAAACCTCTTCACTGTCAGGATGTTTTATAGCAAGAGTGCTGTTGGGTTCTGTGTCTGAGAGAGTCAATGTTAAGCTGTTTTGAAACGTGACCTGTAGCTTTGTTTCCAAAGCAAAATATTTTAGAGATAGGCAGAAAGGCGAAGTGTGCATTCGTATGTGTCTATGTACATAATGTAGCTGCTATGCTGTTTTCGCATCCGTGAGCCCAACTTAAATCATTAGCTCAGTGTTTCTTTACTTACACAGTACAGCGACGATGACGAAGTCAGTAGCATGACACAAGGGGACAGACTTCGGGCCCTGAAAAGCAGAAGAAAATCGAAACCAAACGCTCTTCCCCTCACGTGAGTCTTGTTTCCTTTGTGTAGTCCTTCATGAAACTTTTTCACTGTACACTTTCTGCATAGTTGCATGCCCATTATGCCACTTTGAAATGATTTTTCATGTAATTTAAAATCTAGGGGTGTTGCCTAAGAAGCTCTTGGCTCTCCTTTGTTTATCTCCACCCCCTATTGTAAGCTCACTAGTCTGTAGAGACAGGAAAGTAGTATTAGGGATGCTTTTTCTCCGTGGATAGTCACCATGTGACACCCTCAAGAGAGTGACAGCAGATGTAAACTGCAGAATAATGGATTTGCCCATAGTTACTGAAATTGTGAGTTTCAGTTCACTACCATATTGCAGATAGTATGGTTTGATATTGCAGAATTAATCAGTGGTAACACAGTGGCTTAATGTCATTACTTTAGGGTGACAGTGATTAAATATTTTTGGTATTAAATGTTTGAGGAATCATTTGAAGTTACAGAAGAGGGCTTAGCATGGGCATAGGAAATTTTATAGTTACTAAGTGTGTGTGTGTCCTCTTGGGCTTGGCTTGTGTGTTATTTGAGATTCAATCTCCTATAACGACTAGATTGTTAAAAAAATATGTAGAATCCAAAAACATAGCCAGTGTACTTTTTTCTAAGTTATTCTTCAGTAAATGCTCCTCCCTATCCTGCGGGCAACCTCCATTTCATTGTAGGTTAGCAAATTTCTAGGCCCCCCACCCCACCCTTTTTGTGTGTGTGTGTCAGCGGGTCATTTTCTTCAGTGAGCATGTTGTGATACGGGAAGGGACTGATACCATAACATGGCAGAGATGATCAGAAGTTCCTGGCAGAGAAGAACAGGCCTTCTTTTTAGTTAAAAGTGGTTCTTCACAGATAGTTCCTCATAATCTAAAGTTCTTAGTAGAATAATACATACGATCACGGGGCTGCTGCCTTGAGAGTTTCTTAAAAGACCCAGAGGAACGAATGGAATTTTCCAATATGAAGTGCCACATGAAAGACAGGTATCAGTACTGATTATAGGCATTATATGGGTGTTCTCTGCAGCTTAGTGGTGCTTTAGTTAACTCAGATTGCCTTAAGAATGGTACATTTTACATAATTTAACTGCAGGTACCATTTTGGTTTTAATTTCATTAAAAGTCTTCATCCAAGGTCTAATGGTGCTTTTTATTTAGAAGTGCTATGGTGCCTCCGGGCCATCATTCTGAATCCAGTCTTGAACATGGCAATGGCCACAGGGCATGCCCCACCGCCCTGCCTCTCTGCCTGCGCTGCTCCGGGGCTCCTCAGCTCCTCAGCAGCTTGTAAGGTGCAGGTTATAGTAGCGGGTCTCAGGTGGGCTGCAGTCTGCATTTCTAGCAGGCTTTCCAGTGTTGCCAAAGCTGCTAGTCCAGGGGCCACACTTTGACTTGCAAGGCCTAGAAAATGTGGGGTTTTGTGGTGGTGTTTAGTCATGCCCATGCTTTTGTCTTGCTTTTAAGAATTTGCAGCATCAGTTTATTTCTCAATCACTTTTCACATTCTTAATTTTCACATTCTTAAGTCAAGTTGGGAGTCCGGAAGTCTGCTTAGTCTAATGTTCCTGTTGAGAACGGTTCACGTGAAATTTCCTTTAGTTACTCAGTCTGCTACCTTTCGAATATGTTTTCTAGAGAGTTCAGATTACTTGGTACTTTTTTCTAGAGCAGTTGAGGCTATAAAAGCCTCTTTCATAGCTCATGGGTTTGTGGTAATGTAGTAGAAAACAATGAACGAAACTCCATGACACTAGATGCTGTCACATTCACCTGGCGTATGAGGCTCCCAGGATGAAAGCTAAACCTGATCAGCAATGGTTGAATGAAAAGTAACAGGGCAAGACCAGCCTGGCTGCCCGTAGCATCTGTTGTGTCATCACCCCACTTTACAGCTGGAAGAAGTAACGGACACTGGCTCTTTGCTCTGTAGCACTCTTGGTGAAAGTTTAAAATCAAGCAAAATGGTAGAAGTAAAAAAGAAAAGAAAAAAGGACAAGCTATTTCAAAATCCCCTTTAATTGTAATTGTAATCCTAAAAATAATAGACTAGCCCCCAAACCGTCCCCCCTCCCATGCACATAGTTAATAAATTTTTAGGGCACATTTTTAAAGAAAAAGCAAAATGTCAAAATTCTTCTAAACTCTTTGTGTAAAGACCCTGGGGGTGCGTGCGGGTCCCACCCAGCCGATTTCCCTTCCTGCTCCACAGCCCTTTGCGTAGCCCTCCAACGGCCCCCAACCCTCTTTGCTGTTGGAATCTCTTTTGCTCTGCTCTGTGGCTCTTTGGCTCCAGGAGAGGAGGTCAGTTGGAGATTCCCTTCCCCTCGCAAATCTTTGTTGTTACTTTAGAAATAAGTCCCCTCAGAGGGAGCTTCCAGTAGCAGCGTGGGTGAGATCGAAATTCAGTTCCCATCTTCCCTTTTGGACTCATACTCACTGCGGGCAAGTTACTTGCTCTGCTACTGCTATTTAGCTGGATAAATACTCCCAACAGAGAAAGTTAGTGAAAAATATCTAAGTATGGGCGATTCTTAAGAAAACAAAAGTACACAAATAAAATATCATTACTATTATTAGTTTCTCTTTTACAAATAGTCAGTAGTCAGTATTGGGGGAGAGTTGTTTGGTAGAAATTGTGAAACAGTCATTTGCTCAGAGTGCCTGTCTGCCCCCGACTACCCTGAAGACAGTCAGTTGTGTGCACCCCAACCTCAAAGGGTCTTCCAGTGTGATTGATGGCAAGTGGATGGATGACTGTGCTAAAGTGAATTTGGTGGGACTTCTCACCCCACCTGTGCTTGCCGGCCTCTGCAGACAGCTCCCTTCCGCCGGGTTGGTTAGGGAGACTGGGGTGTCCATGGAGAGTGGGTGCACCCTGCATGGGAGTGAGGTCGAAATGTAGGTCTCATTAGTGGACCTGATTGACTCCCTTAAATGTCCCCTAACAGTTCAGTGTAGATGGGTGTGTGTCTCATCACTGGAAAATGATTCTTAGACCATAAGCTTTAGGAGGGGAGCTGGTAAAAATCACAGGGCAGATAGCTGGTATTCTGACCATTCATCTCCTAACTGTTAAATCAGTAACTGTAAATGAAAATTGGGGCGGCTGGAGAGTTCTGCAGGCCATTTATCAATTTGGGGTAAGTATGAAGCCTCTGTAATCTTAACATACATTAGTAGATTGGGTTTTCTTGTCAGAGGAGTAAGTGAGATGGTGGAGGTGCAGCCTGTGGGGGTGAGGTTGGATGGGATTGCAGGCCCAGCCTTCAGTGTAATCCCTGTTGCCGTGTAGGGCGCCTGCCACGTAGTATTCAGTGATCGGGTGATGAGGACCGCTGTGAAGTTGACATAGGAAGTCACATCAGGCATTTCTGACTTGATCAGCCCAAGGCTTGGCACAAAACCAGTGTTCAGTAGAGTCTCGGGTTCAGTCACAGTTGGTCCAGGTGGCCACCTGGATATGTAGGAGCTAGAAAGGTTCTTTCCTCACCGCAGAGGCTGGACCAGCGAATTAAAAAACACCAAGGTTAGAGCCAGGTATGGTCGCATAAGGAAAACACCTCAGGAAGCCTGTGTAGTGTTAGACATAAGGGAAATTGCCTCATTCTCCGTGGCCCATTGTGGGGTTGTGTGGGCTTCCATACCCTGGTTTTCAGAATATGCGATGTGCTTACACTCCCAAATGGTCAGAGCACGCCTCCGTTGCAAGGAGAGTGGCTCTGCTGTGCTCTGCGCACTGGTAACTGTGCCTCCCATTAGCTGTCCTCACCAGTCCAGGGCTGTTTTCTGTTTGGTTTTCCTCGTCTTTCTCTGAGGTTTCTCTGTGTGCATTTCTTATACTTCTTTAAAATTTTCTGTACAATTAAATTAACATGCGGTAGTTACCCAGCTAGAGATTGGGTCTCATCTTTTGTTAGTGATTACCAAGTCAGTTTAAAACTGAAGACAGCATTTTCTCCCAACCTAACATGGCGAGGTGCCATCCTTGTTTAAACACTTGCAGGGTGACCAGAACTCACTTGTGGCTCTATTTACTTACTATTTCATTGATGGTTTTGGCCTACCAATCTGAACATCTGTTCTTTCCCTTCACCCCTTTCCAGATGTCCCCTAGCTGTGCTGACCTCTGCACTGTGTAGTGTTGTCATCTGGTGGATTATTTGTGACTACATTCTTCCCATCCTGCTATTCTGTCTCGATGGTTTAAGAACCCAGTAGCCATCAGGACCCCTCGGCAAATAGCCGTTGTGTAAGTGTCCACTTCCGTTTCTGTACTAGTGCTCACCCCTGGCGCCAGCCTGTCGCTCATGGTGCATGTTGTTCTCACTCAGCTCTCCCAGCTTTGCTGGTTCTCCTTTGTCCAAAGGTTGTTTTCTGAAATTTCTCCATTAATGGAATGGTGGCGGGGAGGGAGGGCTTCACTATTCCTTCCATACAAGGAATATGAAAAATAACAAACTTTATTATGCTTAAGTTCTGCTTGCTCTTAACAGATTTTTTGAAAAGTGTTTTATGAAGACACCAAAAAAGTTTTCCTTGTCAAAAAATAGGTTGGGATAATTGGTGTGGTTTTCTTTTCATCAGTTACCCGTTCAGCTTTCCTCTAGTTTTCTGGAGTAAACATCTTTGTCATTTCTAGAATAGCAGAAAAACATTCCCACTGATTCCCTGGTAAATACCTGGCTTTGTGGCCAGCAGGCCTAGTGAACGCCGACCGCACCAGGCTCGCCTCTGACCGTGCTCTGCCACCACGCTGCCCTGCAGCACCTTCCGTCTTGAGGATGCGGAGTTTCCTTCTCTGCCTTACCTCACTCCCTGCCCTGCAGGGAACACAGCAAAGTGAAGTCTCCAAAACTTGAGCAAGGAAAAGGGGGCAGCAGGGCAGGTGGGAGCCCCTTCCTGCACTTCCGCCTGATGGTAGGGTGCTCCTCACTCCCTCCTTCCCCAGAAGTAACCCAGATGCCTTTGTTAGGTTCGTGCAGGCACGGT